CACAGTGTTATGCCTGATCTGGGAAACAGAACTTTTAAATTTGGCTTCACTTCCTTTAAAATTGGGCAAACAGCCCTGGCTGATATGGTTCAGTGGATTGAGCACCAGCCTGTGCACTGAAAGGTCACCAGTTCTATTCCCAGTCATGGTACATGCTGGGGTGGTGGGCCAGGTCCTGGTTGGGGGTGTGTGAGAGGCAACCAACTGATGCTTCTCTCTCACATCAATGTTTCTCTCTCTCTCTCTCTTTCTCCCTCCCTTCCCCTCTCTCTGAAAATAAATAAGTAAAATCTTTAAAAACTAAATAAAATTTGGCAGACAGTTTTGGGGAAGTAGGTAACTGTTACCCACTTCAAAGCCTCTGGGTGCCTGTTGTTAACTACTGTAAAGAACTGAAATGTTGTGGGTGTCCTCAGACTTGGTTCATGATCATTTTTATGAATAATCTTTTCATGGTAGACCAAGCAAGTGTATTTATCTACCAGTAACAGCTGTATATCAAAGCTAATGGCTGAGTAAGGCCGTATGACTCGGTATTCAAGTGCCATGACATGGTTCCCTCCTTTCCCTGGGGAATCCATGTGTAATAATCACTTGCATGTACTTTTAGGTGGGCTGTACAGTGGATGGTTCTGGGCTCCAATCCTCACTCCATTACTGTGTTACCTAAGGCAGGTGACTTAACCTCTCTGAGCCTTAAATTAAACATTGTTTTAATTAAATCTATTGGGTAACATTAACAACATGGTATCCGTCCCATGTGTATAACTTTATAATATGACATTTGTATACTCTACTGTGTGTTCACCACCCCAAGTCTAGTCTCTTTTTGTCACTATGTATTTAACCACCTTCACCCTCTTTGCCTTCCCTCGCCCATCCCCTTCCTGTCTGGCAGCCATCATTCTCAGACTTCCTTTTCACAACAGTAGCTATCTTTAACAGCACCACTGTAAAGCCTGCTTTTTCTCCATCTCCCCCCACAGCCTCAGCCTTTACCTGTGCCAACTCTTCCAAATGCCTTCATTATATAGCTCGGTGTTTTACAAGTCTAGCTGGACACTAGACTCTCTAGAAGAGCTTTAAAGTATAGAAATCCTAGCAGATTACAAAAATGGCTGCAATATCTCACTGTGGCAATGTGATTGTGCAGCATTTCCCATTAAAAGGCGGAGTCTCTTTCCACTCCTGCGTCTGTGAATGTGGGCTGGACCTATTACGGTTTTCTTTGGTCAATAGGATACAGCTGAAGCGACTCCCCAGTTCCATGCTTAGGCTTCAAGGGCTGTCCAAACAAAAGCCAGTCCCAAGGCATGTGGCGGGGAGCTGACTCCAGATGTACCAGTGAGCCCAGCCCAGACCAGGAGGACCAGGTGAGACCAGTCCAAATTGACAACCAACAGGATTGTGAGCTATAACAAGGTTGTTTCTTTTAAGCTACTACGTTTTAGAGAGGTGTTACACAGCACAAGCTAACTAATACATAAATCTGATAGGTTTGGATAGGACCTGAGTGTATAATTGGAATTGAAAACCACTGTCTAGATAAATGCACCTAGGGCTGGGTCGTAGGTGGGACTTTCACTTAGACCAAAGTTTACTTAATGGAAGTAAAGCCCTGGCTGGTGTGGCTTAGTGGATTGAACACCGGCCTGTGAATGGAAGGTTGTGGGTTCAATTCCTGATCAGGGCATATGCCTAGGTTGCAGGTCAGGTCCTCAGTTGGGGGCGTGCAAGAGGCAACCAATCAGTGTTTCTCTTGTACATTGATGTTTCATTTCCCTCTCTTTCTCTCTGCCCTCTCTCTAAAAATAAATAAATGAAATCTTTAAAAAGAAAAAAAAAGTACTTTTTTAAAAAAAGAGAGAGAAAACAATAAGCCAAGAAGTGACCTATACTAAACATTAAAATATCTTTAAAATCTTTTGACAAAAGACAGAAGGGACTTTGGATATAATCTTTAGATATAAGCTATTGCAACCTAACCTTATTGGAGAAACTGAAGCCCAAAGAACTCAATGACCTGCTTGAAGCCATGTAACTAATTCGTGGCAGAGCCTAGAATCCAAATGAGGTCTCCTGGTGCCAAATTTGTTTGTTTTCTTGATTCTTCTATATGGTGACAATAATGTGGTCCTTTTTTTTGACTTACCACACATGGGCTCCTGTGAAATCTGTACAAGGATAATGTTAGGGTAATTTGTCTCTAAAGTTTTAATGGGTTAAGAATAAGGCAGTCTTACAGAGACAACCCTAACAGTTTCTGATTGCTAACACGAATGACAGATTTGTTCATTATAAAGTGTGCCTTGTATCCTGGCAGGGGTAAGAAGTTGCCATCCTACTAAGCAGAGCAACTTTGCTGTTCTTTATAAAACCACAGTGGGTCACAACAGTGGGGAAAGACACTTAGTCCTTTCCATGAAAAGAGAAAAAAGCCATCTGAGCCATGGTCAATGAATGAAAGCAGTTTATTTGACATTAATTGCAGAATTTACAGCACTACCATTTAATGATAGGAATAAAAATAGAAAGAATCCAGTGTAAGCAATGTTGCAGACAAAACATCAGGGTGGGAAATGAGCAAATTGAAAATGCAATTAACATTCAACGAAATCTTCCAAAGGACTGGGAGTTTATCAAGCTGTGGGCAGCCCCTTGCTAATGGTGTGTGGTCCTCATTCCCACCAGGATTTCAGGGTAGCCACTGAACATACACCCTGTTGACCATCCCTGGAAAATCTTTCAGTACAGTCTGACTTAACATGTCTGAGACAGGGCAAAATCTGGGTGATAATATGCTTTGGTAATTTAGCTCAGGGTGAAAAGAAAATAAGAATGTGGATTAATTAGGGGTTTCTTTTTTTTTTTTCCAAAACAAGAAGGAATGCCAATTGGAGGGGTGTGTTTTCCTGATTTTAAATAGGAGAGATAATGTTAAAGGAATTGACTATAAAAATAAAAGTTTAAAGTTCCTCCCCCCACTATCATTTTCTTGGAAATAATATCTGTAAAAGCAAGGAGCCAGAACCGGAGATGTGCATGTGACCCTTTGATGTCCTGTCCCCTTGGAATCTGGAAAGAGACCTATGAAAGGTAGCTGGATTTCTACAAAGGTTTGGGTTTCTGGAAGGACTGACCTAGAAGCCACTTGGAGAACGTGACCTCTCACAGGGAAGGTTAACCACTGTGTAGCCATTTCCCCCATGGCTTAAAGTGTCTCTTCTTTCCATTTTATAGCTTTAAATAGAGCTGGGGCAAATTCTTCTCTCTTTCCCTCTTCCTCCCTTTCCTCATCTGAGTCACCTTAAAAACCATAAAGTCACCAACAGATTGGAAGAAAGGGTCCAAGCCCCACAGGCCAGCATGTTAAAAGAAAACGACTGACTTGATCCAGAGAACAAAAAAATCAATGAAAGAAAAGATACTGGAACGTGCTCTCACTCCTTTGGGAGGATGGCCTCTCTAGTAAGAATTCCTTGACCAAGAAAGAACCTACCATTCCTGTACTAATAAAATGTTCATTTGGGTAGAAAGATCACATAGGAAGGATGAAAAAAAATGGCCAGGCTCTTTCTCCGTAGTCTAGAAAAACACCTTCTTGGAGGAAAGCAAAGGCTAAAGAAGAAAACTAATTCAGACATTGGTCAATCCCTTATCTTTGCCCATGAAATTCTCTGGCATCCCAGCTCAGGGGAGAAGAGAGACTGCAGTGCTGTCGGATTGAGAGGGGAAAATAAGATTTGGTGGTTGGAGATACGGATTGGAAGAGGAACCAGCCCCAAGATCATGCCTGTACCATCTCAGTCTCTGCCCACCAAACTTAGATGGTGTCAGTCTTCTTATTTAAGGAATTCCAATTTGCCAGGTGTCTTACAACTTGTCATGGTACCATTTAGACTAGTGTAACACTAAACAACACAGTGAAGAAAGAAAGTAATTTAGCTTCAAGAAGTATCTGTTAATGATATAATTACCTAACCAATAGTCTTTGAATTCTTAACTTTTCTTACTACTGTAGCAGGTTCCCTGTCATAATCTAAAGGAAAAAAAACACCCAACCTGTCCTAGACAGTATAGGGATGCTTAAGCTAAATGCCAAATTGAGACAAAGCAAAGAAAATGGAGGGGCAAACCCCCAAGTTCTATAGCTTTTGAATAGGTCTTTCAAGCAGAGATAAAGTAGGCATTGATGGGCTAGTTTCTTGGCGCGGTACCTGTGGTTCAGCCTGTCCCCTAAGCGAGATGCAGAGCGTGGGCAGCATGCATGGCTCTGGAGAGAGTGGCCAGGCATGAGAGGCAGTGGGGTCTCCTCTTCCTGCTTGTGTTTTCCCAGACCAAAGACCTGGGAATCACTAAAATGTAAGTTAGAAACTAAACAACAGAAAAACCCATCCATCCCTTTCTTTGTTTTCCCAAGAGTCATCTGCACGAATTATAGGTGGAATAGCTAAACCAGTGTGCAGAGGAAGAATGATAAGGGGGGCTTGATTTGAAAGAACCTTCCCTTTGGATCATGGGGATCTGGACCCTTTGCAGTCATCAAGGTGGAGGAAGACACTTTCGGCGATGGGGCAGGCAAAGCCACCCAGATGGGCCACCTACAGCTTTGGCTGGTGGAGCCCAGCTTGGGGAAAGGTGAGTGCCGCGTCTGGTGGGGCGCAGAAGATTGAGGATTACTATTTTCTCTTCTTGCCTTTTCTGTAAGAGTCAGGGCCTACCATCATGCTGGTATGTGCTCAAGGCCAAGGGATCTTGGAGAAGTGCTGGGGTCAAGACAGGGTGAGGTGAGAAGGTTTGGGTCCAGCTCTCTTTAAACAAGCAGATAGTTATGGAGCTCTCTTCCTAGTGCCAAAATCTACCTTCTAGCCCATGACCTTTCATTTCACAGGCCAGGCCCACATTCCCACCATGTGAGCAGGAGCGAAATCCAGGCCAAGCTGAGGTCAACCCCACAGCTCTGTGTCTCCGAGGAAAAGGACACCCACGGGCACAAAGCATCGAGTAAAAACCCTTTAATAACAAAATAACATTCACCATGTAGCTACGTCAGTTGTCTGGGAAACTCGGCTTACACTTGATTTAACATATCACTTTCCACAAAGTTTAAAAACAAATTTTAAAAAAAGGACATAAGATGGCATAACAAAATATACCTCAAGTTTCATAAGACAAGTCTTCTTGGCAAATCCTAGCGGGCCAGACCCCGGTGTTGCTCCTAATGAGAAGGGCGGGGCCCCTTCACGTCTCAGACACTCCTGTTTGCTTCGGATGGAAAATGCACTTGAACCTCGCAGGTACTACAGTATCTGCATCAGGAGGAACAGTCTGTGGGTTTGTGAGGGTGAGGAGAACTTTACTGAAACAAATAATCGAGGTGGTTTATTGCGGAAGAACACATAAAGCTTTCTGGAAGATTAAACACTATTACAATCATTAACTGTCTTACCAAAGCCAACTTAAAATTCTTGTATCCATTCCCATCTTTGGCAGGTTCATAAGGGGGGAAATTAAAAAAACAACTATCTATGACAAAGCTTTCATTATCACGATCTACTTTATAAGGCCAAACAAATGTTTCCGTGTGTCATTAATGAAAGCGCACTCCCAGCAGTCTCAGTGACAGGTAGAACAAACGCTCTGCTGTGGGTGATCTCCGATGTGTTGCATAGCAGACTCCTGCTTTCCCGCCACTGCACTCCACTCTCCTGTGCACAGTGTGCCAGGCAGTTGATTTGGCTTTATGTCAAGCATTTTGGTTTGGGAAATAGGTATGAAACTCGAGAGGAGGTCTCAGAACTGAAATACAAGACAGTATAAGTTGGCCCAATCCAATGTGACTGAAAAATACTTTTTGGAGATACAGAGGCCTCAGATAACTGGGGGAAACCAAAATGGTTTCCCTAAACTGGCGTCTAAAACTTCCTTTACGACCGCCTCCCCCCCGCAACTTAGGATAGAGGTGACACTGTCCAGCAGGAAAGAGGGAGTTATAGAGTCATCTCTGACCCGAGGGAGGAAGAGGCGTGGTATGGCCGCACAGGTGATGGTGTGGGGAATGGCCATCTGTTTTTGCCGGAATCTCGGGAATAGTTGGCAGAGTTGTCCAGGAGAATGGACCAAAAGAAGCCATAGAATAATTATTGATATTAATGCCATTTGCATTTCTACTGGAACTGACCTGACAGCAAAATACTAAAAGAAACCAAGCACAATCGAAGTGACCATTCCTAAGCAGGGATCCAGGAGAGGCTTAAGCAGAATGAGTTCACATGCCCATGTACCTGGCCAGTTAGGTCTGAGGTCATGGACATAAAGCCAAAACAATGCCTTTCAGTGGAGAACGAAAATGCAGAGCTGAGTTGTCCTTCAGTGCTGGCCTCCAAGCCCCTCTCGCATAGCGTGGGACAGCTGGGTCCTGAGGATCCCAGTTGGGGACAGCAAGCGGGCTAACTCAAGCTCCGAATGACCTTTCTTATAAAGTTTGAACCCGGTCCAATCTGACTCATTTTGAAATCCCAACAGATGTACAGGTATTTTTGAGGTGAGACATTTCCCAACAAAACCAATATGACCACCGTCTGAGGCTGAACTGTGTACATGTTCACAGTTTAACGTATACACGACTGTCCCACGACTGCTAACAAACAATCGGCGCCCATGCATAAATAAAGTCCATTGAACCAAAGGGGAGGGGCTAGTTCCAAATGAAAGGCAGCTATTAAGACCACAATGCATCACACTGCTAACTTTTTAGCCTCATGCATAAAATTATAGCACTGATTGGCAGTTGCTAATTATAATACTACACTGTTAACACAGAACAATTAATTGTTCAGACCAAGTAGCACAAATGTAGAAAATAATCATTTCTTTTTCAGCAGAGCAAATGAACACAGATTGTTTCTTCAGCAAAATATGAAACTGTAAACTTTGGGCTCATTCTGCAACTTTCCCCAATCCAGAATAAATAAAATCCAAAGGGGAAAAAAAAAGAACATACATTTTTTTTAAGCGCACCTTTTCGTCTATTACAAAAGCACAACCTAAAACGTATAAAGCTTTTTTTTTCTTTTTTCTTTTTTTAAATCACAGTTACCAAAAGAAACAGTGAATAATTTATTACATACGCTATAATAACATTACTCTAAACACTATTATCTATGAGGTATATCTGAGAAAATTCGGTAAGGAATTGCGCGGTCTGCATTGCCAACATGCCCAGGTTCATATTAAAGCTTTGGAACCGTGAAGAACTAGAAAAGGGGGAAGGACCAGGGGAGCAGAGGGGAGAGACAGAGAGAGAACCTTTGGTATTAGTACAAATCTTGTTCTTTGCAGGGTTGCATTGCAAAGCACCACAGTACAATAAGCCCACCAATTTACTGTATGGAGGCCCAGTTGAAGCTGAGGTATTCACAGGAAGGATTAAAAAAAGCAGAGAGGTCCAGACTGGCTAAATCGTTGCTTTGGTTCAAGCAAGGCACTCGTCCCGTGGTTATGTCACACTTTGCAAGTGAAGCATGAGGCTGAGGGGGGTTGCTGAGAAGGGGGCTGCCAATGAGGGATGTTTTCTGTGTTCAGGCTGCCATTGCTCCCTTTAGGCTCCCTCTCGTAGGGGCCTGGTGGTGGGAGGGCGGTGTCGGCTTCTAGGGGAGCTCTCTGCTGCTCAGTGATCGGGTCTTTGGTGTGCCTCCCAGGTGTTCTGAGAATTCTGTTGCCGGTAGGAACTGGGGAAGGAAACCAATGCAATGTGCTGTTTGGAAGGAAGGCCTTACAAGTCTGCCATGGATAGGGGGAAAGACGGAGCTTTCAGCTTGTTTGGACGGGAGAAAACTCTGACATGTCAGTATGGGGCCTGGACGCTACAGAAAGGGAGTGAGTGGGTTTCCTCACAGAGGCCAGTCTGTCCTCCAAATTCCTCAACCGCTACACTCCGTTGGGGCACGTGCTAACTGGTCTTTTTCTTTCTTAGCTTCATTGTTTAAATAGTCCCTTTAAAAGCTCAAAGATAACCACATCATGTGAAATACAGAATATTAGTGCTCAATAAAGAGCTATTCAAGATGAGGGTGGGCCTTTGCACATGTCTCAGATCCACTTGGTCAGATGCTGAGAATGATTCATTGGCTAATGTACAAGTCACTCAAATGAATGGATCTTAATGGTGACTTAATTATTTCATGAAATCCAAAGAAGACCAATTAATTTCATGAGTAAGAAGGGAAGAGAGAAGCAACTCTAAGTAGCCATTTCTTAAACTGACTCATCTATTCCTCTGAAATTTTGGGTCCTCTTTCATTTACAATAAACCACCTTCAATGTAGGGCTTCATTTTCTCTCAGAAATACAGAGTTGGACTAGAAGTGAAATACAAACGCACACGCAAGTCAAGAGGAGAAGGGAAGAGCTGAACAGCTGAAATGTCACATGTGCAAACAGTGATCCAATTTCTCGGATACTGACCTAAAATATCCTTAATAACTAAACCGAGCAGGGCCCACTCTCTCCTCTCACTGCATGGAAGGAGTGTGTACACCACACTTTGCAATGGGGAACCTCAACAGGGACCTCCCTGGATCAACGTGCTCTTCCACCATTTCAAGGCTGGCCACCTTTGCAGCCACAAACCCTGTGTGACTTTCTGCCGTGATTGCAACTAGACAAACACTGAAATTCCTGGGACTGTTCTTACCCACTGAAAATGTTAAGTGATAAGCCCCAGGCCCTACTTTTTGCTAAAGGATTGCCAGCTTGCTCTCTGCCCATGGGTGGCCCATCTCATGCAGAGGCAGAGCTGGGCACTGGGACAGGAGGCCTTTGCCTCTGTGTAGCTATTTAACACAGATAATTATTTCACTCCTCCAGGCCTCTAGGAGGAGTGGTGGACTGAATGGCTTCTAAGGTCCCTTCTAGCTCTGCTGCTCAGTGATTTGAGTTTCTGTGGTCCAGTGATTGGGAATCTTTACTCTGATAGCTCCACAGCAGGAATTAGGTCACGGCTAGGATGGAAGGCCACTTCCAACCAGACTTCTTGGCCTGTTTGGAACTGGAATTTAAAGAATCCAATTACAGCAGCATCTGAACTTGCATCCTGAACATGTGACCGGGGCAGTGAACAAATGAGAGAAACACAGAAAATATCCCTTTCCGATTGGCAGCCGCTGTCACACAGACAATTCTTTCTGTGGGGAATCTGAGCTGTGGCTGTACATACCATATGTCAGAGAGAAGAGTTAAAATTATAAAAGAGCACAAGCAAAATGCAGACCGCACAGAGAAAGAAATCTTTGGTATCTTTGGTGTCTCAACACGATTAAAATTACAAATGGAAAAAGTCAGTGAGGTAGCCTTCTTTGGTTCTCACTAGAAATAGAAAGTTTTTCCTTTTTTTTTCTCTTTTTTTCTGCTTTTTTTCTCCTCCTTTTTTGTCTTGTTTTACACACACACAGAGTTCATTCTTGGAAGCAGCTAGTGTAAGGGTTTCTCTCTTTTTGCTGTTAAGATTTTTTAAATGTATTTGTTTCCAGTTTCTGTATAGAAGCCCCGAAATCCAGGCTGGCGAAGCAGGGTCTTGGCTTATGTTTTCTGAATGCACAGGTGCAGGTTGGGTAGTCATTGCTTGTCCACAAACTTTGCTCTGTTGTTCTGACCGCAAACAAACTATAGTGCTCTCTGTTGTTTTAAATAAAAAATATAAACTATACAGTGCACCTTTCACAGATGCTGAATAAGTTAAATAAATAAGTTACACTATGAAGACTCTGTGGGCCCCGATAATTAAAAGGTGAAGTTCTTGTGGTACCACGTGGGGCTCTGAACTTAAGTTAAATAATTTAATAGTGTTATTTAAACTATTTTCAAAGTTAATTCAACAAGGAAACATAACTCAATTCTTTTTTTTTTGTAACCTGTATTTCTTCCCTGTCTGTAACAGAATTTCACTGCTTTCTAAAGCAAACTAACCTCCTAGAGAATTCTAAAAGTGATTCTGCATTGCCAATGCACGCCGCTGGTCTCGATTTGGATGTAGCACAAGGAATACAAACAAACTAAGGAGGGATGATTAAATAATTACCCAAATCCTATACATTTCTGTGCTAGGAACTCATTTAAATAAATTAATTACATTAATTGTACTTTGCTTGTTGGGTCATAACCCAAAGAGACAAGAAAAAAAAATGTTTGTTTACTGTCTTCGATTTTTGATGGACAAAATGTATTAACCTCTTCAATAGTCTAAGGGAAAAGAAAGTAGGAAATGATAACCTCTAAACCTTATCCACGTTCGTAAAGACCATTTCGATGTGCCAAGCATGGAAAACACCCCCACCCCCTCCTCTAGCTCGCACAGCTCCCACAGCATCGTGGCACCATTGTCTCTGCCCTGGAAGCCAGGGCCCACTTCGTCCCTACCGGTTTGCACTTGGTTTTGCTATTTTTTCCTTTTTTTTTGTTTTTTTTCTTTCTTGTCCCTTTTCGGGTCTTTGGATTTAGCTCTAGTTATGAGAGATCCAGAATAAAGCTATTCAACCGAAGCAATCAAGCATGTGTACCATTCTTATGCAGATGATTACATAATCCAAGGTTTCTTGAAAGTCTGAGCTTATCTTGGATGTGCCCAAATGAAAGCGGTTCCAAGTGTACACAAGGAAGATGTTGGGATACTCTTTTTTTCCCCCTGCATTTTAGTTTTCCGTGTTACAATAAATAATGAAAACGATGTACATGGTAGAAGTTCCACATGCATGTGAAATGATCACTTACAATTTATTTATTGTAACAGATGACAGTATGGAGATGGGTACACACCCGTGCCTGCGCAATCTAGACACGCACGGGTAATGTGTGTTGCTATAAGGATGTCTGTGAGAACACATGTCAAGAGATGTATGTAAATCTGTCTACACCCAAGCTGACAGACTGACTGTCTGGGCCTGAGGCAAGCTTCTCTACCAAGGTTTATACTATCTGAAATGCCTGCTGTGAAAGATGGAGCAGAGTGGAAGACTTCCATGGGGTGACCGAACCAGCAGCAATGTGTTTTTTCCTACACACATTACCTCTACTAACAAGGGATTAGCTGGCCAATCTGGCATCTGCGAACAATGAGCATTTCCAGTCCCTGTGGGATTCATGCAATGGCCCATCCGATAGAAGCTTTGTGTCTACCTATATGAAGCCATGTATTATTTTAATAATTATTTTTGTATTTTATAATGCATTCTGAGGCTCTCTAAAACAAATAAGTAAACCCTCCCTTTCCCCTGCCCTGGGAAAGAAACAAATGGTGGGTAGAAAATGGGCATTGGGACAGCGATATTTAGAGCCAATGTCATTGACTTATGAGACTTATACCAATTCAAGTGCCCCTTTTTCCTTGAGTAAGGGTTTCGTGGCCTTTTTTGATAACTAGATTCGCCTGCTGTTTGAGAGGCGACTTGGTCTTAGGGAAGGGCACAAAAATTACGAAGCCGTGCAGGTAAAGACCAGAAAGTTACAGGCACCAGTCCTTTCCCTCCCCCACCTACTGGTTCCCGCTCACTCCTGGGTAGGTTAACAAGTCTGAATCACAGCATCAGCAGCAACAACAACAAAAATCAGCTCAACCTATAGGAATCAGGACAATTATCATCATGGTACACTCGTGACTGGGTCTTGAGGCCCACCTGGACCACACGTATCATTTCTTTTTCCCTACTTTGTAATTGAGTCCATTATTCTTCACCAGCACAGGAGCCCAGCCTATTCTTTTTATATTGGAAAAAAACTCCTGCTCTACAACTTCCTGGAAACCAGAGTTCACTGCAAAGGCGTGGTGCTGTGATGCGATGCCAGTGACAGTCACACAGACACTCGGATAATCCCGAGGACATTTTCCAAAGTGGGGAAGTGTCATCCCCTGTAGATCAAGGTGATGGCGATTTTTAAAAATCCATTCAACTTTAATTTGTTGGCATTAATAGGTGGGTAACCAACCCAGCATAGATAAGGTAAAAATAGTTGATTATATAAAAGGTGCTAATTTTAGGCTTTAAAACACACCGTTTGACTTACAAAAATGCATGTGTGTGTGTGTATGATTTACCTCCCTAATTTTTATTTTACTTTAGTTTTAAATGAAGATTACCTTACGTTTCCTAAATGTATCATTGCCAAGAGCCTGCAGGAGTGGAGACGCAGAGGAGAGAGAAGGAGAGATTACAGCCCTCTTCAGACAAAGCATCAGGCTGGGTCCATCACGACTCATCCTCACCTGTACCTTTAAGTGGTACAGCCTGCACGCTATGCTACATTTTGAAAAGCCTTTAATATCGGGGTTGAGTTTTTATTATTGTTGCTGTTTGCCTTTTAAAAAATGTTGGCTCTTAATAAAAATTTTCTGGAATGAAAAAATTCTATCCCCAGTGCCAAAATCACATTGAAAATAAAATTAAAGCAAGTTAATTTACCTAAAGGAATAAAAAAGTATTTCTCCACTCAGTAACCTTTAGATTTCTGGTGCCTCAAGAATGTGAATTTTAGATCAGAGCCGTCCCTTCTATTGTTGATGGCTGAGGCGTGCCTAGAATTCTTCCTGGGGATTGAGGAAATGGATCCTAAACCATAACAAGACCAAATGACCATTTTTTTCCCTGAAATTATTCACTTAAAATGTGATTTTTAAATGCTTGAGGAAACTTATGGGTGAAACTCCATTACCTTTCAATTTTCAGGGATTTTTTTTCTTTCAGATTTTTAACAAATTGAAATTCTGTAGGGCTTAACATTTCGATACATAGATATATAGATACAGACATGTATTTATATATGCATGTACATAATTTTCTAAAAGCAAGCATTGCTCTCTGGTATGATGTTATCTGGTGAGATCCTTATCAAAAGTCCTTGGAGGAAAGTTCTTGCCTTTCTTACATGATGACATCTTCCTCAGGCCACCAGGAACACACGGCATGTGTGCATTGTGAACTCTCAGGCCCCCAAGGCAGCTCCTTTTGGTGCTGACATCTTCAGAGAAGGCCAGGGACTCAAATGCCGAGATTAGAGCACCAAAGAATCACTAATCAAACCAAACAGCCTTGGTTCCTCAGTCTGCTCTCGGTAAGAGCGACCATTTCCATTGGCCACAAGTCACAAGGATTCATTTGGAAACATGCAAGTTGGAAGTCATTTTTATCAACCAATCTGGAGCCTTCCCCTGCTGAAATAAGCTCTCTCTTTTTTGTTTGTTTGTTTTTTGTTTTTGGTCATTTGACAAAGGAGACATGGAATATGAGCAAGAGACAGACACACAGGGAAAAGTCAAGGAATATCCCCAGGTAGGATAAATGACAAAAGTCATGGAGAGTCACATTCTTTCACAGCTCCACGGCTGCTGCCCCTGCGAAGGGAGACCCACATGGTGGGAGGGAGAGGTGGGACAAGAGACAACGGGACTCCCAGGGGCAGGACTCCAGGATTCTTCCCAAACCCTGCTTGCTGTTTTCTCTTCAGGACTCACACACCTGCCCCACCCCTAACGGCACCCCTGCATCACCCCAGTGCCAGCTGTGGCTGCAAACTGGTAATTACCACCCTGAGGAAACCTGATCAGCCCAGTGCAACGGCAGTGGGGCGTCCCCTGCGAGGAGCCCCTTTGGTGGATCTGCTCACTGAGGAGGATCTGGAGCACCCTGGTGGGGCAGGGACACTCCTCTAGAACATGTTTCAGGGCTGGCGCCATCTCCATAACTGGTGGGAGTGGACCACTGAGCCTTCCGGCAGTTATGGGCGATCAGCCCCGCACTGGCCCGGGCCCAGGCCCGGTGATGGGGTGGGTCTGATGCATGAACCTCACGTACCACCGTATCATGGTTGAGGCATGGATTAGAGATGACTTCACATACAAATAAAACTCCTTTCCACCATGGCTCCACTTAACAGCTTAAATGTTGAAAAGCATGAACTTGACTTTCAACCCTTCCCAGGAATTTTCGCAGAAATCTGAACACTCCAAATCATCCACAGTGGCAAATGAACTCTGGGATGGCATGAGAAATGAGCAAAATTATGAACTGAATGCTTAATAAATGAAGCACTTGACGAAAACAGGACATGAATTTGGACAGCAATAATTTTGGGGTTATCACCAATGTCCAGTTGAATCTATATATGTGTTCATATATTATATATATATCTTTTTTTTAGAAATGCAACTTTACAGCTGATTTTTAAAAAGCTAATAGAAAAGTAGAAATTGACAATTATTTTTACATGTTACCCCCCACCCCCAAAAGAAGCCCTGTTAGGATGTAGCAATCACATGAAGAAGAGGCTATCGATTCCTCTATAAACTCTTTGGTTCTGTGGTTCGGGCAAGGATGTGTCACCAAGACCCCTGACCCTGACCCTCATTCCCCTTCCCTCCCCTGATGATGAGACTGAACGCAGAAGGAACCTTAAGTCTAAGGGAAAAGCAAAGAACATTCAAGTGACCATATTATTCCCCATACTCTGTGGAGCAGAGAAAAGAGAACTGTTCACTATCCCAACATCTTAAACTTGGCGTTTATGGGACCTGTTGAGAGATCCCATGTTGGGGGAGAAAGCCATAAAGCAAAACTAAAGGGAAACAATAACATCAAATAAATGACCCTTTCCTTTCGTTGCTCAGAAACAAAATTGATTACCTTTACACAGATCAATGGCGCTACTAGTACGTTAGCCAGGCAAGAGGAGATAATGAACTGAAACAAAGGGTGTGAGAAATCCTCATCTTTGGTATTGTAGCTGTTGAGGTTTCTGTTGCTCTGTTCCGTGTTCTTTTGAAAAACTGCATAGGCACAAATTAAAGACAATCTTCAGCTTTAAGATTACCGCGTGAGTTGTCAGATGAAGCAGCAGCCGCTGAGGCTTGTCCTTATTTCCGTTCTTGTCTCAACCCTTTCTTTAAAATCTGCTTCCAAAAAATGTCCCAAGAGGTCTGTTTGAACACAGTGTGTCTCACTGTTTTTTGATGGTTGGTTTTTTGGCGTGCTTCCTTCTTTGTTGGTGGTGATTTTCACTGATTTACGTATTCATTTATTCAGCTTCATGGGACAGTTCTGTTTGTTGCAGAAGTAGGTGCAGAAAAAGTTTCTTTGGTTTCGATTAAGTAATTCATAAAAAAGTCAGTCTCAAGTGTCTGTAAAGAATCATTGCAGCGTTTGGCTTGCTTTGAACACCCCCACGGTGCCCACTTGGGGCCATTCACTGGTAAATATGCACATTGTGACCTTCGCAACCTCCCAGAGTTCTGTAGGCGCTCTCCTGCTTGCTGTTGGAAGGTGACGGCCAGAAGCCACAGGAGTGTGGCCGAGCCACTCCCTGGTGGCTTGGCTGAATGTCCTTGGCATAACCTGTCCGCTCAGCCTGACGGTGAGCCAAATGCAAGAGCCAAATGCCATTCGGAGTTGCAGAGGTTTTCTGATTTCTAAAAGTAATCACAGTATTTTTAGGCTAGAAAATGGCAAGTAATAAATGTCTTTGGTTTGCAGTATTCTGCTTCTTTGGTGTGCTGTGTTTTCTCCAGTTTATTTCAGCTGTTCTGCTAGGATGACTCAACAATGGAAGAGATTTAGGACTAGATGGGTAACATGGACGGTGGCTTGAATTCTTTATTTTTTTTCTTGCTAGAAAACACTGAAGATATCCCTACTGATGGGATGGACGAAAGAAAAACCCAAATCTTGAAAGAGTGAGAATGAGTTACGAGGCGGTCAGAATGCACAATAGGAGGAACCAGGTGACTAACAACCAAGAAGGATACGTTAATGATCTAAAAAAATCTAGATCTTTTTTTAATGCTGCATTTGCTCCAAGTACCGTAACAGTTAAATTGGCCTCCTGAGTGTGCGTCTGCATTATGTACAAACAGAATTTGTAGCAAACTGCAAAATGTGCTTGAAGTCGTATTCCCAGTGATTCCCTAATGACTTCACTATCGGCGTCTTGAAAATCCAGATGCGGCGAATCCAAAACCTTCCTTACTACTCTGTTTATCTTCGTTGTGCTTGATACTTTGAGCTCAAGTGAACTGACTTGTTGTTTTGATGGACCCAAGACCACATGAGATTTCCAGGAGATAAAGAAAACTGTAAACTGGATCAACTTAAAGCTTTCAAAACCATTCAGTGAAAAGATGCCTGAGTTGGAAAAACAGGTCCTTGGATTTTTTTTTTTGACTTCCACATTTAAAACTTGTGCTCAGTAATTATCACTCTGATGTTCTTTACGTTATGGCTGTGAAGTTTGGTGTATGGTGGTGGAAATGAGGCTAAGCACTTAGAAAGCAAATGAGGTCATTCTGGTTGCTAGATTCTTCTCTTAATGTAGCATCTTGGGAGCCCAAACTCAGGCCAAACTCCCTCCTTTCCATCTGGGAGCAAGGTCTGCAAGAGGCTGACAGAACCGAAGGAAGGAGGGCTGTTGGCATTTTAAGCAGTCCTGAGCTTGGCCGACACCACACCGAAACGAACTTGCTCCAGGAAGGCCCCATTTGGGCTTCTGAGATGCTCAGCATGCTCAGAGGACAATGTCCGGTTCGACGAGATTCATTTTCGGCTTGCGTGTGGACTCCATAGCCATTAAAAACAAAATAAAAAAGAACACCTGGCCTATGATTACAGCTAGAAGTTTCTTTTCAAGAGAATTGTGCTTTCAAATCACCAGTGAAGGGCCCCAGCTAAGAATCCGGTGTCTTTTTCCTTTGTATTTGCTGTTGGAATCTGTTGTCCTCGTTTGGAGGGGACTTGTGCCCAGCTGAGAGTCCTTCCGTCATGCTTTGGTACAGGTGTTGGCGGCGGACGAGGAGCCCCCTGTGCTCAGGTCATCCTGCCACTTCTCTAGGCTGCGGCGCCGGGCGTTCATGAAGAAGTTGCTGACGGTCGTGAGCTCCAGGCCCAGCTGCTGGGAAATGGTGATCTGCATCTCTTTGGATGGGCGCTTGTTCTCCTTGAAGATGGCGAAGAGTGTTCGGCGTTGGAGGTCCGTGAACACCAGGCGAGATTTCTTCTGGGAGTTGTTCCTGTCTTTGTTTGGTTCTTGCTCTTTGCGCTTGCATGCTGGGAGGGAAAGAGAGGAAGGACAGAGTCAGTGCTGGCACCTGAGAAGGGGGTCCACTGAAGACAGTGACCAGGTCGTACAAGAGGACGTAAACCGTTAAACTCTATTGTGCAAACTGCCCAATAACCAAGCTCCGCAGCTCCTCTCTAGTGACAGGCAGATTCAGTGATGGGGGGAGGGAGAAAGGAGACAACAGCAGGGCTATTCCGGCTGGTGTGGAACCAATTGCTTTCTCCTTCCCCACCCCTGCCCCCAGCACGCCTTTCTAAGTCTTTATCTCTGAAATCAGGTGCTGTGAAGGGAGCCCCGACTCCAGGTCCCCAGGGGGAGCCTGGTCAGGCAGTCCCTCTTTCATATTCGCTTTTGAGAATTGTTTACAGCTGATCCGAAATTACTTTTGGGAGTCAAAACTTAAAAGTGCATAATTTTTTCAAAATCAAAGCTTCTACCCACATGACTCAAAAAATTGTTAACAGAATAAAATTAGAAGTGACAGAATGATGGTATCATCCCAACTCAAATCTTCCAGACTGTTGAAAAACTAAGAGGGAAAGGCTGTGAAAAAATTGGTTTGTCCGACTCTCACTGGGCTGGTCTGAAGGCAGGCCAGTGCAAGAAGACCAGGGCCTTCCTCACAGACCAGGTGCCAACCCACTCAGGCAATGGCACTGGAGACATCCAGACCCATGTCCATCTGGAAGGCCAAGAACAGAGACAGGGAAGACACACCACACAAATGGACCGGGACCCATTCTCTGTCGCTGGGATTTCATCCTTCCCAGCACCCCCTTCTGCCGGTGAGTGCAAGCACAGCCCTGGTGAGATGAACCTCTAAGAAATGTGTCAAATTCTCCTGGGCAGCCATGTGGAAGGTGCTCGGGGTGAACAACCTACATGCTAGGGAGAGAGCTGCTGTCAGCTTCTTAGAGCAAATATACGGGCAGGGGATGCAGGAGCAGGAAGGAAGGACGGGGACAAGAGAAGAAGGGACAAGAGAGCAGGGGGCCACACACGCTTGTGCACATGCCCACTCCCCTCATCCTGGAGGCTCCGTACAGGGTCATGTCCCAAGGACAGAAATGCAGAAGCCCAGGAGGCTTGCCTTATAATCCCCCAACATCCTCCAACGCCTGAGCCGCACCTTGGGCTTCATTCTGACTCAGGGCAGGTAGTACCCAGGGTACTACCTGGGTTCCCTGTAGTACCTTCTTGCTCTCATGTGGATGAAAAATGATAAACCTCTGCTGTGGCTCTACACCCCCTCCCCCACCACCTTTGCTTGGGTGTGGGGTTGCAAGCAGGTTGGTCACCACGAGCATTACAACACCTCCCCAGTGTCCATTTATCATCCAATGAAAGCCAGCCAGCCATTGTTCTGTTTTGGCGCCTCAGAGATGGTCTCGGAGGAAAACATGTTTTACTTCCTGTCCCTATTTTTACCTTCAATACAAAGCCACCAAAGGGGACTCAGGAAATGGGGGTCCTTCGATGTCTGCCAACTTGGTTACACAGAGGGTGGCCCCAGAGGGTGCGTGTCCCAGGGGAGGGTGCCAGGCAACGCCCCCCACCCTTGCTCCTCCAGGGGGCCCTTCCAGGCAGGCTCTGCGGAGCACCGGAGTTCACATGCCCAGCACAGATACGCCTCCTACCTCAGCTTCCCTTTCAGCAGAAACTCTCAGAGCAAAGGGGAGCCCCAAGGAACAGGTTTCTAACACCAGATACTCAGACCAGCTGGTAAAAAAAAAAAAAGTCCTAGAACTGCAGGAGTTTAGAGACCATTTGGTCCAATCTTTTATTTTAGATGTAAGGAGAATGGCACTCTAAGAGGCAACAGGGTTTGCCCAGTACTGACCACAGCTGGTCAGTGATACTCCCCGAGAACCCAGATCCCCTCACTTCTGATCCAGTGCGGCTTTTACTTCCCACTTGGCTATTAGAAGGTGTCTTTTGGGGCTCTGAGCCTTTGAGTTCACCATTCCTGGCCATCTGTTCTGCCTAAGAAGAAGGCTTGCAAAGGGACACCTGTTATTCTGCTGTCCAGCTGCATGCCTGCAAGCTACCCAGGAGAGTGTGAGTGGCTAAAACCAAATATTTAACTCTGGGGAGAAACATTTGGCTTGAAATAGCTAAGGGAGCCAGGTACAGCCTCTCCCTACTTCCCACTCAATCGTCTACTAGAACAGTGATTTTTAAAAATCTTTTTAAAATGTTTAAATTAAATTTATTGGGATGACATTGGTTAATAGGATCATATGGGTTTCAAGCGTACAGTTCTGTGATATAAGACCTGCTTATTGTACTGTATGTCCACCACCCAAACTCAAACCATCTTCCTTCATGATATATTAGGCTCCCTTCAGTCACCACCACCCTTCCCACCACCCCCTTCCCTCTGGTAACCACACTGCTGTGTCTGAGTTTCAGTCTTAAATCCCGCCTATGAGTGAAATCATATGATTCTTTGATTTTTCTGACTTATTCACTTAGCATGATATCCTCGAGGTCCATCCATGTTGTTGCAAATGGCAGTGCTTCACCTTTTTGGATGGCCGAGTAGTGCTCCGTGGTACACATGGACCACATTTTCTCTATCCAGTCCTCTATCAAAGGACACATTGTTGTCTCCATGTCTTGGCCACCATGAATAACGCTGCAATGAACATAGGGGTGCATATATCTTTGCAAATAAATGTTTTTTGAGTTTTTCGGGTGATACCCAGGAGAGGATCACTGGGTCTATGGTAACTCAATTCTTAATTTTTTGAGGAACCACCAGAAGGTTTTTCACAGTGGCTGCACCAGTCTACATTTCCACCAGCTGTAAACGAGGGTTCTTTTTTCTCTGCAGCCTCTCCAACACTTATCACTTGTCTTATTGATAACCACCATTCTAACAGGTGTGAGGTGGTATTTCATTGTAGTTTTGATTTGCATTTTCCTAATAGCTAGTGAGGTTGAGGGTCTTTTCATATATCTACTGGCCAGTTGTATGTCTTCTGAACAGATGTTCAGCTCCTCTGCCCATTTTTCAATTGGGCTGTTTGTTTGGTGTTGAGTTTCATGAGTTCTTTGTATGTTTTGGATATTAACTCCTTGTCAGAGCTGCTGTTTACAGATAATCATCTCCCATTTGCTCGGTTGCCTTTTTGTTTTGTTGATGGTTTGTTTTGCTGTGGAGAAGCTTTTTAGTTTGGTATAGTCCCATCCATTTATTTTTGCCTTCACTTCCCTTGTCTTTGGGGTCAAATTTGCAAAATATTCTCTACAACCAAGGTCCATAAGTTTACTACCTATGTTTTCTTCTATGTAATTTATTGTTTTAGATCTTATATTTAGGTCTTTGACTAATTTTGCTTTAATTTTTTTAAAGAAACACCTCTAGTCTTTTTTTAAAAGATTTTATTTATTTTATTTTTAGACAGAATGGAAGGGAGATAGAGAGAGGGGGAGAGAAACATCAATGTGTGGTTGCCTCTTGTGCACCCCCAACAGGGGACCTGGCCTGCAACCCAGGCATGTGCTCTGACTGGAAATCGAACCTGCGATCCTTTGGTTCACAGGCCGGTGCCCAATCTGCTGAGCCACACCAGTTGAGGTATTTTGCATAAATTTTTATACATGGGGACAAACTGTGGCCTAATTTCATACTTTTCCATGTGGCTTTCTAATTTTCTCAGCACCATTTATTGAAGAGCTTTCTTTTCTCCATTGTGTATTTTTGGCTCCTTTGTCAAAAATTACTTGCTTTTTAAACAATTTTAAAATTGATTTTTAAAGAGAGAAACATCACTTTGTTGTTCCACTTATTTATGTATTCACTGGTTGTTTCCTGTATGTGCCCTGACTGGGAACCTGCAGCTTTGGTGCATTGAGACAACGTTCTAACTGACTGAGCCGACCAGCCAGGGCTGGGTGCATGTGTATGGAGAAGTATTACGCGTTCTTGATGTAGGGTCCCCTTTATCATTATACAATGTCTGTCTTTGTCTCTTGTTACCATTGTCATCTTGAAATCTATTTTGTCATATATAAATATGATTACACCTGCTTTTTCTGTGCATGCCGTGTGCTTGGAGTCACCCCAGTAAATTTAATAAAATAAAATAAAAACTACAAGAAGTTATCACCTCATACCCATTAGGATGGCTATCATTAAAAAATAGGGAGAGAGAGAGATGGTGTTAATGTAATGATACTCCTATGGATATATGGGATGAATTTAGCCACATAGGGCTATTGGCCAACCCATGTTCTTGAACTTTTAATTTTAATTATGTTCCATGTAAGCTGGAATATGTCTTTGGTTATTTTTCTTTTCATAAAATGTATATAGATATACTTTTTGAGTCATTATAGAATTGAGACTGCCTTCCTACAGGAAATATCACCTGAACTACATAAATTTGAGCATTACAACTACAGTCAGTTTTGCTTTAAATTTCCTCCAATATTATTTATTCTTCATTTTCCTGAAAGTTTTAAAGTCTTTCTCATCTCTTACCATTTTAAAAAAATTACTTAGAGTCTGCTTTCTTCTTAACCAGTTTGTGTTTGTTTCATAGAAGCCGTCTCTTTTTGCATCATGTTGACATACCAAATGATTCTCTAAAATATTCTTTAATTTCTGTAAGACATTTTCAGATGAATTTCTTCTGATTTCAGATGATTGTCTCTTTTTCTGTTTTCCATGTTTCCTTTGGTCCCATTTATTCATTCTCAAATGAGACAGAATCAGTCAGGTCTGATATGGTCCAGAGAAGGGGTGTTTGTATTCCTCTCAGACCTGCACTAAGTCACCGCCAGATATAACCAACCCAGTGCCTAACATCTCACGAGGTTTCCTGTAGTTTGGTCCTACTGGACTGCTGTGGATTCATCTCCCTCGGCCACTCACAGATTGCTGATGAGCTAGTTAAATGGAGCATGTGCTTCAATCCCTAAGATACTGTACACCAAAGCCTCCTCTTGTCCCTACACTCACCCAGCACACCCAGGAAAC